AAAAGACAAAAAGTAAATCAAAAGTTTTTTCAAATCTAACCTACAGTTGTCATTAGAAATGAACTAGTCGGAAAAAAGGTAGCACAAAAACCACAACAAACCTTAGTTTTCTCTCCCCATTCCTTTTCGAGGGCATCAAGACATTCTGGAAGAAGCTTTTCAACCAACTGGAGATCTTTCTCGCGGCACTGCAGCACAACTTCCTTCTCAAGAAGTTGCAGAAGAGCCTAATTCGATTCAATTTAAACGGATATGTGATGAGATAAGCTGTTAAGAAAACTAAAAGCATGTCGATGAATCAATGCAAACCTGCATGATCAGTCCCTTAAGAATTGAGGGATATCGACCTTGGTCTGCAGAGATCTTCGACAAGTTCATCCTAGCTTCCTCAAGCACATTTCTGATGTGATCTTCGCGTGCCTAAAGTTGATTTTACAATAGAGAAAAACATCTAAAAGTAATATTAAGAAGTACCTTCAAACACATTAGGCGGCCCTCGTTCAAAGAGTTTGACGACTGAATTTTTCGCTGCAATTCAACTTGCTTTTCCTTCTTCTCATAGAACTCCATGATCTTCTGACGTTGCTGTTGAACAAGACGTCCCTGAAATATATTTATGCGATTAGCGTCAATTGACGAAGATGACGGTAAAGTCATTACTAACGCTGAAAGATCGTTTGCGATTTTTGCATAAGAAACCTTGCAAAACGCGAAAAACCAATCTTAAATGTGTACAACTCTACATATAACGCTTCGGTTAGCTTATGAATCATCAAGAGCAGTATCTCTAACATGAAAGTCTTTTCTGCTGTCTTCGTAACTCGTTACTGAAAAGTTTAGCTTATCGTTATTTAGCTTTAGTACTGATGATTCAAATGGAGTCACGAATCCCAGACACATGAGATAAATGTAAGTTTTTTGGTAAAGATACAACACTTCAAAGAGAGTTAACTACTAGAAGGGTCATGTTTGCAGTATGACATCACTGGTGTGAAGTTAGTGCCTTACGCTCTATGAAACATTATCTTCAGTTTGAGGTTAGAATTTGTTCTACAACTGGTCACAAAAATACATGTTGTAGAGAGAGATGAAACAATAAACATGAAACAAAGTTATGCAGCAATTCACCTTTTCGATGTTAAATTCTTCCTCGGCTTTGGCGTCAATTTCTTCAGCCTTCTCATTTGCCTCCTGCTCAATGAAGGCCATCATGTGGCGAAGTTGCTTTTGTACGTCGTTGTCAGAGATGCCCATGTTGTCTGTGGATATCTACGGTCTGCCCCTGCAATAGATGTTTGTAGAAATTCTTTCAAAACTAAAAAATGAAAGATTTCTACTTCACGACAAACACATAAAGCTGTTGTAAGCAAAGTAAGAAATAGGCAAAAACAAAGCGCCACACTCCCAAAAAGCACTAAGAAAGAGTGAAAGTCGACAAATACTACACTTACAGATATCTCTCATTCTAAGCGAAATGAGAC